AGGAAGTTAAAGATCGTATTGCACTAAGGAATTTCGGTGTCAGCGAAATGGTGCAACTCGCGAGGCAATGACACCAAAATAATTTTATATTTTTAAATTTTATTCAACTCATGAGGCAAGCCCTTGGAACCTACACGAGTAATAAACTATCAATTATTAATTAAACTATATTGATAAATATCGATTAATAAAAGGATATTATTTTATTGAATTTATAATTTGTTTTAAAACAACAACAATGGCTATGGTATATGTATATGTGTGCATATATGTGTATTATCCATGTTATTAACAGTAAAAAGGAAAATTATTAACTATTAGAATTAAAATAATGAAATGCATATTGTATGCATATATATATATATACACGAAGAATAGACGTGAGGCTACACTCAACGCGTTGAGTGAAGACTTCCCGCGCTCCCCACGCTCCCCTTGACATTGTGCGAGAGAGAAAGAAGATTGTGTATAGCATCGAAGCGTTCTCTCTCAGGCATATTGTTCTTACGGAGTATAGTGTACTCTTCTATCCTATCGCTCTTTCTCTCTCACACTAACGGCGAATGTTACTATAATCGTCTGCCTTCAATTTTAAATGCATTTTTTTTAATTTTTCGAACCTTGAAAATAGGGTGAATGATGGCCCGGCCTTAATTAAAAATATTTATACAATTAACAATTATACGATATATAAAGATGGGAACGTTTAGGCTATTATTATTATTAATTCTATTATTATTTCTTTTCTTTCAAAAATATAATTTATCTCTCGTTTCCCTGTACCAACCTAGCTTATAAACCTTGCCCGCCATAAATTGCAAACTTGCGGAAGATTCCAATGCACATTAAAATAATTATTGACAAATGATTTAACGTTGGAATTGTAACAACCTTTTTTTTTAGGGTTACAAAATAGAATGGAATTTCTATTTTGAAATGTCCATTATTTCCAACTTACATTAATCCTATTTTAAGAGATTAATTAAAAAAAAAATAAAATAAATAAATAAACAAATTAAAAATTGTTTCAATAATTAAAAGAATATTAAAAAGAAAATATTCTTTCTAAGAATACAAGAAAAAGGAATTTATTTCAACATAGTGCAATGAACCGATTCCACAAAATGCAAGTTCAGCAATTTTGGCATGGCAACAGGACCAACGCCCTGTCCCCACCTTTCCATATTTCTTAAGGAAGTAAAACTATATAAGCTCATTAATTAGATATCTAAATTGTTCAGTACGGTTTCCCACGGCACAGAGACTCAATCTCTGTCGGAATAAAAATAATATTATCCGTAACGTTCCCGTCCGGTATACAGGATCCAAATTGGTTGTATGTTTATACAAGCAATTTGGCCGGACGAAAATAAAATTCTTAACTCGAAATCCGCGGGGCCACCTAAAGCTAAAATAGTGAAGGGGGAGATTTTATTTAAATAAATTTAAAATTTTCTTTCTTGTCAAATGACCGGCCGGTTTTACGGTGTAGCCGCGTCCGCCCTATTTTTAGTGGTTTAGGAAACTAAGAAAAAAAAAAAAAAAACAATAAGTTGTGCACGTGTGAGTGTATTGTGAAATCTTCGCCCGTCGGCAGAATTCTGGCGGTAGACTTAAGGTTCCAGAACGGGTAAGTAACTGTATCGTTCTGGCTAGTTTTACCCCATCCTCCTTTCTTTTATTGTTTGAGAGGCGGATGGATCCTTTCTTTAATTTACAATAAATCATAACTATTATTTTAATTTTTCTTTCTATTAATTTTCTACATTTTCCTTACCCCCCCCCCCCCCTTCCTTAATTAATTTCTGAATTTTGGCAACTAGGAAACACGAATCCCAGTAAGATAAACAGAGCTCACGCTCTGGCAGTTTGAATTCCTCCAACAAACTGGAAAATAGGGCCATCTCAAAAGCCTAAAATAATCATTATAGTTAAATCAACTATATTAATTATTTAAATATTTTCTCGTTCGTAACATTCATTAAAAAAGTGCAATTTATTTTGATTTTTATAATGAGAAAAATAACTATATAAACAAATCATTCAAAAATTGTTTTTAAATCATTTTTTAAGGTAATTAAATTTTTCACTTATATCTATAATAAAAATCTGAAAAATGTTAATGAAAAATCTTTAAATGTAAATTTAAAAATGAAAATTAATGAAAATTAGCTACTAATTTTTTGAAATTCAATATTTTAAGTATTTTTAATTACATATTTCCGAAAATTAAATATATACAAAGAATAATAACATTTTAGGATTATTTTTAACATTTAGGCAAAAAAAATCATGCTCTTTTTTAATTAAAATTCATCAAAAAATTAATTTTTTTTTAAATTATACAAAAATTCTTTTAAGAAATTCAATTATTTTCGAAAAATTACATTAAAATATTTTTAGAAACTAATTATTAAAATTGTTTTATAATAATTTTTTAAGATTCAATTATCTTTGAACAATGTATAAATAAAAATTTATAAAAATTTACTTTTTGGATTTATAAAAATTTTTGACAAATCATGGTCCTGTTTATAATTAAAATTCTTCAAAAATTTAATCATTTTTATTTATATTTTTCAAAAATTCAATTAATTTTAAAAAAAATTTACCAAATTTTAATTGTCATATACGTTAGGGATTTATTTTTTTTCTCATATTACTGTTGTCTGAAAGATTCTCTTAAAGTCTTGTTTTGAAATCTTGAATTTGAAAATTATTCCCTTTGTAGGTAATTATTTTCTTTTGCAAAAATTTTTTTGGAAAAATTTCTCGTCCGACTCTTTGTATACTGTCTCAACCAAGTAAACTCGAAACAAATTTTTTTTTTTTTTTGCTTTTCTTCTTCAACTCCCTTTTCACCCCCTTTCTCTCTGAACACATTCGTCTGCTTTAACTTCCACCTTTTTCCATGGACATGAGTCGTTCTCTTCTCGCTTTCATCTATATACATTATTTCTGCTCTGTGACTCGCGAAATGCAAAAGGTCATTTTAAAAGCTCTCGGGGTCGCATTCACTTGCCCCGTTTTGTCATTCCCTTTGTTATCCGGAAAAAGGAATTAAAAGTCGTGATATGATGACGGAAAACTGAGAATTTGACGATCATTTATTTAATTTTGATTTCTTTTAAATTTCACTTTTTTTGTATTAGAAATACACTAATTTTTTATTTATTTAAAATTATTTTCAACTATTTTAAATTTAGGTATTTAAAATAGAAATTTTTAATAAATTTTCCAGTTTTCGTGACTGAAAAACAAATGTTCGATTCAAATAATCGATTAGTTGTCTTTTATCAAATAAATATTTACTTGAATCAAAAAATTTTTATTTAAATCAAATTTTATTTTTTAAACTAATATTTTTAGTATTTGAATCAATAATTTTGGTATTTGAACCAATAATTTCAGTATGAATCAACAGTTTCAGTATTTAAATAAATAATTTTAGCATTTGAACCAATATAATTTCAGTTTTGTATGAAATACAAATTTAATTAATTTAAATGAAAATTATTTGATTCGTTGTAAATATTTATTTGATAATAAACAAAATTGGTTAATTGAATGAAATACATTTTTTTTTAATTAACGAATGAATATTCATACTTTTCCAAAAAAAAAAAAGAAAAAAATGTCGACATTTTGTCGAGAAATATTTATTTTGTCATATAAATTTATTGATGGTAATAAAAAAAGAGAATATTGAAATTGAAGTGTCAAATACTTGAGAAAAAAGTATGATTTGATTGTTGTGTGCCTGCTGCGCTGAATATGGCAAAGTTGCCAAGGACACAGCTGGCCAATTTCAACCCTCCTCTTCAGAATTTCAGGGTTATTTTGCGTGTTTTATGGTATATTTGCCTCCACCAGTTGTTCGTTATTTCGTGTCACGAAAAATTCTTGTCTTTACTTTAATTATACAAAAAATTACATTAACCAGAGTTGCCACAAATCGGGAAAATTAAATTGAAAACAGGCGAATCGGCGAATTTTACCAAAAGTGCTGGAAAAATATTAAATTCTTGAAATTAAAAAAAAAATAAATAAATAAAAATTATTGCCGTAATTCTTGAATTACGGCAATAATTTTTATTTTTAGGGTCTGGAAATATTTTTCAAAATTCAGGAAGAAACGAAATTAAATTTTTTTTGGCAACTCTATTAAATTACTTGAATTATTGAAATTACTTGAATCACTTAAATTACTTGAATCACTTAAATTACTTGAAATACTTGAAATAATGGAAATACTTGAAATAATTGAAATACTTGAAATAATTGAAATACTGGAAATACTTTAAATACTGTGATTACTTAAAAAATAAATACTCAAATTTAATTGCTCTTGATTCTTAATTATCCGGATTCATTCATTAAATATAATTTAATTGTAGTAAAATAATTTTTCGCCTTTGGATAATTATTTATATTCTAATCAATGAATATACATTTTGCCGAGGAATTTTATTTGAGAGAAGAAATATAATTTTTTATCGAGACACCCTAATGAATCGTATGTTCAGCAACGTGCGAATGCTGTAATGAGTCTCTCTCTCACCCTCGCCACATTAAATAGTTGTACTAGGGTAGAGAAATTTATTTCCTAAACCGAAAATTAAGAGCTCGCTTTCTACAATAGTAATTAATTTCTAAAAAAAAATATATCAACGATTTCTCAACTGTTCTCCGAAATTTTTTACATTCCCCTCATTTTTCACTCCCATTAACTTTTTTTTTACACCGAATTGTAAAAATTTTCATAATTCAAATGAAATCAAAAAAAAATCCTTAAAGTTCATTTTTTACTCAAATTTTGCTGAAATGAAATTAATCAAGTTTCTAAACGTTAAATTCGTTTAATTAAATTTAAAAATAAATTTATTTTAATTCCTAATTTATATTGTGTTTAGTAATGAAAAATATTTCGATAATTTAATAATTTGAATTTCGTTAAAATTTTGTCAAATTCTATTCGCCTGGAGAAAATAGAAAAAATGTTCCATAACATTCTTTTTTATTTGAAATAAAAACTCCTTACATTAATAAAAAATATTCGTACTTTTTAGTTATCAATTATTTTTCATAAATATTTTTTTTTTCTTAAAGTTTAAGTCTTTTAATATCCTCGCTTCTGAGATCTATCCTGAGACCAGCGATTTTTCTCACTTCCTGAGGTGTTAATCGCCATGCAATTGCATCGGCTCCACAATAATCGGCCAATTCTTCAACTTTTTCAACACTCAAAATTGTCGCTATTTGCATTAGTCTGGCAAATTTGTCACGAACAGACCACGAAGTTGCTGATGCCAAATAACTCGCTAGGGATCTTATTTCCTTGTCCAAAATTAATCCACCAGCCTGAAAATATAATTTTCTTTTTAAAAACAAAAATTCCCACAAACATGAGCGTTGCAACAAATACAAATTTCACAGGAATTTGATTATTTACAAATTTTTTAATACATTTCTTCTCTATAAATTCAATTATTTTCCAAAGTAATACAATTTTCACAAGAATTCAATATTATTTTCATAAATAATACAATTTTTTACAGGGGTTCAATTATTTTCATAAATAATAAAATTATTTTTAGGATTTTAATAATTTTTGTAAATAATAAAACTCATCGTAGAATTTCAATTATTTTTAATACAATTTTAAATCAATTCTCCAAAAGCATTCAATTATTCATAAAAATTCTACGAAAAATCCGTCGAAAGAATTCTATTATTTAAAAATTTGGTGATAAATTTTTTTATGAGAATTGAATTTTAAAAAACATTGATTCTATATTAAGATCGTTGTATTTCGGTAATCTGTTCGTAGTTTGAAGTTAGTTGCTGTTTGCAATTATGTTTTTGTTTCCTAACTTTTTGAATGTTTAAAATTTCAAAATTAATGCACTGAAAATCATTGAATTCTTGTAAAGTATTTATCAAAAATTTTGACAGTAATTGAATTTTATGAAGAATTCAATAATTTTCAATAATTAATAAATTTCTTTATTCAATTTTATAAATGATTAAAAATCTTCATAAAAATTTCAATTATTTTTAAAAATCTTGTGAAAATTCTCCGAGAAAATTCAATTATTTAAAAAAATAATTGAACCTTTTACAAAAGTTAAATTATTTAAAAAACTTTTAATAATAATCCAATTCAAGAATTCAATTATTTTTTAAAATAATGAAATATTCGCTGGAATTTAATTATGTTTAAACATTTTTTTAAAATTCTTCGAAAAAATTCAATACTATCAATAAATAGTAACTTCTTTATAAGAATTTAATTATTTTAAAGACTATTTTAATAAAATTCTTCTGAAAAATTCACTTTTTCTTTACAATTTTGTAAAAATTCAATTATTTGTAGAAATAATAAATTTTTTCGCAGGGATTCAATTATATAAAAAAGTTTCAATAAAATTCTATTCCAGAATTAAATTATTTTCAGAAATAATTAAATTGTCGATGAATTGTCATTGAATTCATGTAAAGTTGTTATAAAAAAATTTGAAAGTAATTAAATTCATTTCAAGAATTTTATCAACATTTTTTCCAATAATTGAATTCTTTCGAGAAAATGTAATTAAAATTGTATTGAAAATAATAACATTTTTTTTAAAGAATTTCATTACATTTCGTAAAAATAATGTAATTTTAATTGAAAATTTCGAAAATAATTGAAATTTACAACGAATTTTATTAAAAGCTTTTGAGAACTATTGATTTCTCCAAAAAAATGTTATTAAAATTTTTAAAAATAATTGAACTTGGTAGAGAAATGTTATTAAAATCATCTTGAATATAATTGAATTTTCTCCTAGAAATTTTATTAAAATTGTATTGAAAATAATTAAATCTCTCAGAAGAATTTTATTATTTTCAAAAATAATTGAATTCTTACCAAGAATTTTACAATTTAAAAAAATAATTGAATTGTTTCGAAGAATAAAATCAGAATTGTTGATAATAATTGAATTTTTATTAAAACTCTTGAAAATAATTGAATTTGAATAATTTTTTAAAAAAATAATTATATTCTTTTGGGAAATTGAATTTAAATTGTATTAAAAAGGATTGAATTTAAATTAAAATTCTTGAAAGTAATCAAATTTAATTTACGTTTTTAAAAATAATTGAATTTTCTCCTAAAAATTTTATTAAAATTGTATTGAAAATAATTATATTTCTCAGAAGAATTTTATTATTTTCAAAAATAATTGAATTCTTACCAAGAATTTTACAATTTAAAAAAATAATTGAATTGTTTCGAAGAATTTTATCAGAATTGTTGATAATAATTGAATTTTTATTAAAACTTTTGAAAATAATTTAATTTGAATAATTTTTTTTAAATAATTGTATTCTTTTGGGAAATGTTATTAAAATTGTATTGAAAATGATTGAATTGAAATTAAAATTCTTTAAAGTAATCAAATTCAATTTATGTTTTTAAAAATAATTGTATTTTTTCGAGAAATTTTATTAAAATCTATAATCAGTCAAAAATAGATGTTTATTCTTGAAAATATAAAATTTTTTAATTTACAAAATAATAAGAAATGGAATACAGCTTTCCACGCGCTGGCGCGCGTATCATTTTCTAGTTATTCAATAAATTATTTATTCTTCTATTTAAATAATTAAATTCTCGTAGAATTTTCTAATAAAAATTGATTTAAAAATGAATTTCATTTGAAATTTTACATACAGGTAATAATTGAATATTAAAAGCATTATAGCGTGAATTTTTAGAAATAATTCAATTTTGAAAAGGTTTCAATTTAAAAACTTTGAAAATTAAAATTTTTCAGAATTTTAACTAACAATTAGGTAGAAAAATTTCTGGATAATCGAAATTTCGTAAAATTGAATTGTAAACAATTTGAAAATTCTGAAAGAACTTTTTCAAAAATGATTAAAAATAATTGATTTAAAGAAGTGGGAGTGTATAATTCTGGTAAAAAAAATTTCTCTTACTCTATTAAAAGTGCATTTGAGAACAACTTTTTCCAATCGTGCAGTGACTTCGGCAGTGAGAATTCCAATCAAGGCGTCATAATTCGAAGCTGTTAGAATATCCTTAAATCCTTGAAGTAATCCCTCGAGATGTTGAATGAGCGTTTGAACGAATGGCTCATCGGTTTCATATCTGAGTAATTCATCCTAGAAGGAATTTTTTATTTAATTGTCAGAAAAAATCTTTAGAAATTTTAGAAAGAAAAAAATTTAACGCTGAAATGGAAGAAAATTTAATGCAGAAATTTTTTGTGTTCCTGGTCTCGAAGTTCTAATAAAATTTTGTTCCTTCATTTATTTTATATTAGCGCTTTTATTAGCTTCTATTTTTATTAATTAATAATTAATTATTTAATATTAATATAATATAGTTAACAATTTAATTTTATTGAAAAAAATTATTCTGTGTATTAATAGAAACTAATGTAAATTAAACATTTTTTCCTAGTTAGGAATTATTCTAACTAAAAAAATTCTAACTAAAATTTTTTCCTAGAGGATAATTCTTAACTAGGAAAAATGTTAAATTAACTTTAGTTTCTATTTTTCATTTAGTAAAATTTCAAAAAATTTCAAAAAAAATTTTTAGACAAAAAAATTGGTTCATTTGAAGGAAAATAATTTTGAAATCAATTACTTCATTAACGTGATGATTTATGGAAACAAAGGCGTCGACCCAGGGTGTCACTCGGGGCTTCACGGCACTTGCTCTTAATTGCTCTAATCCATAATCAATGACGGCCCTTAAACTGTGCGTTACCCCCTTAAGGCCCGCCAAACAACTATCGACCTTTCCCCTTTCCTTATCTTGCATATTGGAAAATGCCTGATTTATTTCCATATTGAGACTTTTGCCCAGAGTCTCCACATACTCAATGCTCACGTCTGTATTGTTTAAATACGCCTGAAACATTTAATAAACAACCAATTAATAATCCTATCAATAATCCAAATACTATTTAATAATTAATAATAATAAATAATAATTAATAATCCGAAAAATTCGGAGCTCAATCGCTGGAAATGTTCTTTCATTTAATTTTATTTTTAATTTAATCTAAATAAATAAGAATAAAAATAATTATTAATGAAATATTTTTTCATTTAAAAATAAATAAAATTTTGAAAATTATATATAATTATTTTTAATAATCATAACATTTTTCGAGAAATTCGATTAAAATTGTATTAAAAATAATTGAAATTCTACGAAGAGTTTTATTATTTATGAAAATAAATGAATTTCTGCAATAATTTGTAACTTCTCCAAAATTCAATTTTTTTTTACTGTTTTTTAACTAAAATTCTTCTTTAAATTCATTATTTATAATAATTTTTGAAAAAGTTCTTTGACAATTTTCAAATTCTTTTTTTTTACAAAATTTCAATTATTCGGATATTCTTCAATTAAATATATATTAGAAATTAAAAACTTCAAAAAAATAATTTCAAGTAAAATTCAAATAAACGTTTTAAAAAAAATTAATTCTTCTACAAAACTATAAGTTAAAAGTATAAAAAATTTTGTTTTTCTCTAACTTTTCCCTGATTTCCCGATAAAATTTTCACTTTTTCCTTGACCCTAAAGAATATTCTGATTTACTCTAAATATCATTAGATAATAGATACTCAAAAAAATGTTCTATTACATCGTTGTAAGAATTTAATTATTATTATAAATAATAAAATTTTTTTTGGGATTTAAATTATTTTTAATACAATTTTAAATGAGTTCCTCGGAAAATGTAATTATTTTTAAACATTTTTTTCAAGAATTCAATTAAATTTCATAAATAATGAAATTCTTTGCTGAAATTCAAATATTTTGAAAATCTACAATTGTAATAAAAATTCTCAAAGAATTCAATTATTTAAAAAAAGGTAATAAAATTCGTTGTAAGAATTCAATTATTATCATAAATAATAATATTCTTCACAGGATTTCAAGTATTTAAAAAAAATGTAATAAAAATTCGTTGAACGACTTCAATTATTTTTCTGAATAGTAAAGTTCTTCACAGGATTTCAATTATTTTTAATACAATTCTAAGTAACTTCTTCGAAAAATGTAAATAATTTCCAAAATTTTATTGAAATTCTTCAAAAGAAATAAATGAACAATTATCAATTATTTTTAATAATTTTTGCAAAAGTTTCTAGAGAATTTTCAAATTCATTTGTTTACAATTTAATTTTACAAAAATTTTGATTATTCAGAAATTCTTTAATTAAATATTTTGGAAATAAAAATTTGAAATAATTTCAAAAAAAATTCAATTAAACTTTTTCAAAATACAATTATTTCTAAAAATCCATGCTATAATATTTTTAGTATTCAATTATTTTTTTAAATATTAACTGAAATTCATTTTTTAAACAATTTTTATCAGAAAATTCTACGAGAATTTTTTTTAAGTAGTAGTTGAATTCTTTTGGAAAATTTTATTAAAATAGATATTGAAAATCATTGAATTGGAAAACATTTTTGAAAATAATTAAAATTTTGACAAGAATTTTATTAAAATTTTTGAAAATAATTGAATTTTAGAAAAGAATTTTATTGTTTCTAAAGATAATTGAAATTTTGACGAGAATTTTTCTTAATTTTTGAACATAGTTGAATTTCTACGAAGAATTTTATTACTTTTGAAAATAATTGAATTTCTGCAATCATTTATAATTTCTCTAAAATTCTTCGAATTATATCGTACAATTTACGAACTTTTTTTTCTTTTTCAATCAAATTACGTACTTTACAGACCTTTTTCTTAAAAAAAAAAACTGACTTTTACGAACTTTAAGCAAATTTACGGACCTTTTCGGGATTTACGGACTTAGTTCGAGCCCTGAGATCAGAAAAATATTCAAGCATTTGGAAAGATTAATTTCAGTCTGACAATTTTTTTTACTGCATTTAGTAAAAATAAATAAATAGTAAGAAAATGATTCACAAGTTTTTTGAATGTTCAAATGAACGAAATACTTTTCATTAAAAAAATTTTTGTAAATTACTGTTTGTAATTAAAATTAATTCATTAAAACGATTTTGTTACATTACTGATTGTAATTAAAATCAAAAACTTAAATTTAACATTTAGAAACTTTATAATTTACTTTTTTTTACACGAGACAAAATTTTGGTAATAAAATTTTACTTTGATGAAGAAATAAATAAATTTCTTTCATTTGAAGATTCGGAATTTTAGAAATATAAAAAAATTTGTATTAGAATTTGTTTTCTGAATTTTTAAAGGGGAAATAAAATAGAATATCGTTTGATTGAAAAAATATCAGTAAAGTACTAGTGAAAATAATTACTAGGAACATTAATCGTCCTTGTTCGGTGTCGGAAGTTTGTAATCGGCCGTGTTGAAAGCTCGTTTGAAGAGCATTATATGCTTGAGCCAAATCTAAATATCCTGCCGGATAACCTTGTCGCAGGCGATTTCTTAATCGGCTTGTAAATTCTCCTTCTAAATTTCCACAAGCCATGTTTACCACCGCACACACTCCATCGATACTCCAACTCGAGATTGCTCGTCTTCAAAATTAAAATTAATATTAAAATTAAAAAACAAAATTATAAATAAAAATCGTCTACTAAATAGAGAATTTTTATTTTTCGATGTAATAATTTACAATTCGGCTGTCCAAAGAAAAAATCACATTTTTCGACCTTACGAAAAATGCGGTTACTGAGTTTTTACTTTAAATAGCAGAATTTTTTGAAACTAGAAATAAAAAATATTTTTATTAATATTTTTTTAAAAATAACATTTTCTCTTTACCTGACACATTTTTTCACTATGAAAAAGACATCGTCAACCATACTTGACGTCTGTTGTTCCTGATCGAGACAATCCATTCCAATTGCTTTATTGACACTCTCCTCTAAAAAGTATCTCTCCAATGCCAAATAAGCTCCCAATAATTCTTGCATACTTCTCGCCAATTCTGAATTATTGACAAATGTCTCAAAATCATTAATCGATGCTTTTCGCTGTGTTGTGTCTGTTGTACTAATTTCCAAATCGCTCTGTAAATTAAAAATCATTCATATTTTTTTCAAAACGAAATTATTGAAATAAAAATTAATAAAAATTGTCTCTTTTTACGCTTATTCGTCTTCTTAAAAATCGAATATAGAGTTCAGAACGAGCGTGCATTATTGTTATCTCTCCTAATAGTAAATCCAGTTCTTTAGGATCGGCCTTTTCACCTCCCTGCTGCTTTCTCAAATAATCGTTTATTGTTTGGACTTTTTTCGAAATACTCCTTTGCTTCATGAATTCGGCAATAATCTTCTTAATTTGCCTGTGAAATCGAATTGGATTAAATTCTTTCAATTACAGAATGGTCGCAAGTTTCAGTTTATCAATTTCCCTGACATTTCTCTGACAATTTACTAACAAAATTATTATTATTATTATGAAATTATTATTTTCCCTGACAAAATTATTTTTACAGGAAACTATGAATGTTTACAGAAAATGAGTAAAATTTATGAATTTTAATAATTTCTAAAAATTACAATTATAACACTTCCTGAATTCAATTATTTTCTACAATTTTCAACTAAACTTCACCTCTGAATCAATTAATTTAAATAATTTTCCAAAAGTTCTTCTAGAATTCAATTATATTTGAAAATAATTTTTGAAAGATAATAGTTTTTCAAGTTTGAAAAATTTCCAAACAATTAAAATTTGTTAAAATCTTTTAAAAATAATTGAATTTTTGAAAAATATAAATAAAAATGTTCGAATTTTTGAAGAAATTTAATTATAAACAGGACCATGATTTCTCAAAAATTTTTATATGTCAAAAAAGTAAATTTTCATAAATTTTTATTTACATTGTTCAAAGATAATTGAATATTATAAAAAAATTATTTTAAAACAATTCTAATAATTAGTTTTTAAAAATATTTGAATGTAATTTTTCGAAAATAATTTAATTTCTTATAAGAATTTTTGTATAAAATTTAAACAAAAAAGGAAATAATTTTTTGATGAATTTTAATTAAAAATTTTGAACATGATTGTTTTCTCCAAAATATTAAAAATAATTCTAAAATGTATTCTAATTTTTGTATGTATTTGAATTTTTGAAAATACTGAAAAAATTGAATTTTAAATAATTAGAAGCTACCTAATTTTCATTAATTTTCATTTTTACATTTACCTTTGAAGATTTTTTATTCTTCAAAAATTGATTTTCAAAAATTGTCACAAATTACTTAAAATAAATGAATTATTTTCAATTAAATTTTACATAATTTCAACTATTCCAAAACATTTTTATTATAGATATATTTGAAAATTTAATTATGTTAAAAAATGATTCAAAAACAATTTTTGAAAGATTTGTTATAGTTATTTTTTGCATTATAGAAATCAAAATAAGTTGCACTTTTCTAGTAAAAATTGGAGTATTTCGTTGCAATGTTTGTAAGAAAAGTCGAAAAAGTCGCAATTTTCTTAATTTTCCTGACAAAAAAAATTTTTTCTTGACATTTCCCTGACTTTACTGAATTAGATATACGGGTCTTGGATTGAAAAAAGTTGCTTTAGTCGAATAAAAATAGAAAAAAGTCGATAAAGTCGTTTATTTAATTCAGTGTTGTCGCAAAAAATTTTATTTTGTATTTCCCTGATTTTCCCCTTTTCACGGATTTCTAAATTCAATTATTCAAAATAATTGAATAATTGAAAAATACTTGAATAATTTTGTTAAATAAATATTTAAATAGATAAGTATTTGCTTTTCCACTGGAAATAAAATTAAAAAGAATTTCAATTCAAAACCTTCTGAAATTCAATAATTTCTAAAAATTATAACTTTAACCCTTCCAAATTTCAATTATTTTCTATTTTTAAGTAAACTTCGTCTCTAAATTAATTATTTTTAATTACTTTTCCGAAAGTTCTTCAAAAATTCAATTATTTAAATACAAAAATTCAATTTTTAATAATAATTACATCTGTAACTGAAAATTCTTATAATCTTATCAAAATTTTTCAAAATAATTGAATTCATTCGAGAAACGTTTTAATTATGAAAAAAATTGAAATCTTGATCAGAATTTTATTAAGAAAAAACTTTAAAGTATTTTACCAAATTTTTTAAAAATTTAATTTCTACGAAGAATTTTATTATTTAGGAAAAGAATTACATTTTTTCAAAGTATTTAATTGAATTTTTTTTATAAAAAATTTTGTTAAAATCTTTCAAAATAATAAAATTTTTGAAAAGAATATTATTAAAATTCTTTAAAATAGTTAAATTTCTATGAAGAATTTAATTAATTATGAAAATAATTCAATTCTCATAAATAATTTTATCAAAATTTTTCAAAGTAATTGAATAGGTATCTGTGAAGAATTTTATTAAAATTCTTTAAAATAATTAAATTTCTTTCGAAAATGATTGATTTTTGGAAATAAATTTTATCAAATTTTCAAGAATAATTTAATTTTTTTGGAAAATTTATAGAAATTGTATAGAAAATAATTGAATTCCTACGAAGAATTTAATTAAATTTTTGAAAACAATAAATAATAATTAATTAATTAGCAAATTAGTTAATAATTGAATTTTTTAGAATTTTGAATCTGAAATTATTCCAAAATTAAATTAAATATTTGAAAAAAAACATTTTTTTTAATTTGACTACTTTGTTCAAAGATAATTGATCTCAAAAAATTATGATAAGACAGTTCTAAGAAGTAGTATTTTAAAAATTCTGTAATGTTAATTTTTGAAAATAATTGAATTTTTTAAAAGAATTTTTGTATAATTGAAGAATGCTAATTGATTTCTTTTGTATAATTTTAATTGAAAATTAAACATCATTGTTTTCTCTAAAATGTTAAAAATAATAGTAAAAAATTTTAAAGGTATTATTTTTTTGTAAATATATGAATTTTCGGAAATATATAATTGAATTTCAATAAAATAAGAATAAAAAAATTCCAACAGTTACTTTTTTCAAAAAAATTTTTAATATAATTTTTAGAAGGTAATTTTTATGAATTTCATTTTTAAATTTACGATTAAAAATTTGTTGTTATAATTCCGGCGAATTTAATTATTTTCAAAATCTACAATATTAAAATTGTTCAAAAGTTGAATTTTAAAAATTGGAATAAAATACTTTAAAAAAGTCAACTATTTTCAATTAAATTTTACAAAATTTCAATTATTTAAAATCTTTTTAATGGTATATTTCGAAAAAATTAGAAAAATTTGTCGAAAATAATTTTTAAAAGATTTGTCTACACACAGTTATTTTTTTACATTGCAAAAATCGAAGAAATTTGCGCATTTTATACTAAAAATGTGGTATTTTTTTGCAATTAGAAGAAAAAGAACAAAGAAAAGGAAAAAAATAGAAAAGTCGAAAGAGTCGCAAGTTTTGAAAATAATTCGAAAATTATCAAATATATTTTGAAAAAGATTTGAATTGAATTTAGTGTGAATAAAATTTGAACTAAAATTATTAATTATTTTCACCTGTCGCACTCCTTTTGCAAAATTGTAATTGAAGTAAAAAGTCGACCAGGTCCATAGTAAGTTTCAATTATTGGCTGATGCACTTCCACAATTCTGGCAATTCCCTCAAACAATAAAGTTATCGTGTCGGCAAATATTACCGGAGCTCTTTTATCCGTACTTTTTACATCCAGAGCCGATTTTAAATTTTTTTGGCAAGTCTCCTGCAACTGTTATAAAAAAATAATATACAGTTTCTGAACATTGAAATAAAAGAAATATTTTTTCAATCAATAAATAAATATTTTCAAAAATTACTCCTTATTGTAAAAATTAAAATTGTAATTTAAATATTTTGGAAAATTTATAATTTAATGTTTTTGATATTTGATGCAATTTTATCACAGTAGCATTTTAATTTGAAGAAATAAATAAATTTTGTCAATTCGAAACATTTGGGACATTTTTCAAATTTCGACTATTTTCATCAATTAAAATGAATGAATCGACGAAAATTGATGAAAATTGACGAACCTTTGAGCAAAGATAAAGGCAAAATTTTTTAAGTCCCTCGGAATGCATTCCAAGAAGGGGGAAAATTTTGAAAAATCTCTCGACAGATGCTAAATCCTCGGATTTGACGGCTTCGTCGAATTTATGGGTGACAACTGTTCTTAATTCGAGAGCGGCTTGCTGTAATGTTGCCAATGAACTTGTTATACTTGTACGATCTCCCGAAACATCTTCCGCCGTTCTCTCCAATAATTTTTGGTCCATTGATAAATATCTGTGTACATGGGCCGCTCCTTGTTCGTAATCTTCATTTTTCAAGGCTGTCGCCACTCCCTGACTGCAAAGTTGCAAGTCAAGTATATCGTTCACTCGACTCTGACACTCGCAAACTCGGCTCTGTAATTTTTAAATTTAAATATAAAAAAAATTCATAACTTGAATTGAATTGAATTATTTTCGAAAATTTTCAATAATATTCTTCTCAAGAATTAAAAATTACTTTTATAAATAATAAAATTCTACGTCGAAATTTCTTTGGAGGAATTCAATAATTATTATCAAAACGTTTGATAAAATTCTTTATATTTTATAATTATAAGAATTAAAATTTTAATTAAATTCCTCTGAAGAATTTAATTATTTAAAAGAATTTTTAATATAATTCCTCGCAGAAAATCAATTATTTTAAAAATTTTAATCAAATTCTTGTACAAAATTCAATTATTTTTTTAAATATAATAAAATTTTTACAGAAATTTAATACAATTTTTTAAACTGACTTCGAACAAAAACTTTGACAAATAATATTTAGTAGTGGATATTTTTTTTTCTTACCCGAGCCAAATCCAAGTGTCGTACTTTAGCACTGACTTTTTCAGCCAAGTCATTTGTGTGATTAATCATATCGCGAAATTTTTCACTTTCTGCTCGAATTACGACTACATTTGGTAAAACTTTGCTTATGTTTTGTAATTTCGCCTCGACATGATAGTGACGAGAGAGAATGTGATTCAATTGCTTGTTAATAGTCACCTAGAAAATGAGAAAATATTTAAAACATTTTTTTCGACTACTTTTTGGGGAATATTTAAAATAGTTTAAATTTTGTTCGCCCTCTTTTTGGGGATATTTAAAGTATTTTAAATATCTACAAATATTTTAAATATTTTGAATAGGTAAGTTGTTGAATTTCAAAAAGGTTCGAATTTGAATCTTTTGAAGAATTTTAATTTCTATGGAAAAATAATAATGATTAAATATTTATTTAAAAAAAAAAGTTATTGATGTTTTCGAATAGTTTTACAATTAAAGAAATTTATAAATAAATGTAATAGAACATTTTTTTGAGTATCCAATCATTTTTAGAGTCAATCAGAATATTCTTTAGGGTTAGGGAGAAAGTCAGAATTTTGTCTGGAAATCAGGGCAAATCCAGGGAAAAACAAAATTAAGTTTACAAAGTTTACAAATACAAGAGTTAGGTATAAATATATAAAACTTTATGTTCATAATAATGGAACAATTCTTACCTCTGCCTCCTGGAGTCTTTCCAATATTTCCTGGCAGTTTTCCTCATTCACAGGCAAATCCATCGTGAAATTAAATTGAAATAGAGTTTTTTTAATAAATAAATCTAGTCATCACAGTTTAAATTCTCTTTTATAAAATGAAAAAGGCTCTTCTTTTTCTTGTAGTGTAAACGTCAATATCGCATTTTGACAGCTATAACAGCCACGTCAAACATAACCTGAAAATTTTTCGAAGAACTAACCAAATCTGATCACGCACAGTAGACACTGTAGAGTTTTCTGGACGACCTTCAACACGTGCATCACGTGTATATAGTTACGCGACCTCACGTTTATTTCCAAACCACTTCAATTTCCTAAATTAACACTCAAGTCTTTTAGTTTAAATATAAAAAGTGTCAAGTGTGAAAAAATTATTTCAATTTTCCCCCCTGATTGAAAAACAATGCGGAAATATTTTAAAACCCAGTGCATTGTGCCAAATTGTAATTCAGGAAAATCGGTAAAATTCAACAGGTTTCCAAAGAATGGTAAACAATGTCAATTATGGATTGAAGCGGTGAAAAATCCATTTTTAGAAACTCTTTCTTTAAACGAGATTCAAACATATCGCGTTTGTCATTTACATTTTTCGAAAGATTCATTTTTTATAACTGCCGAACGTCCACGATTAAAATGGAATGCAATTCCATCACTTCGTTTACCGTTTGAAAAAAATGTTTCCCCCGAATTTATTGATTTGAAAATTGATAAAAAAAAATGTGACAATGAAAATTTGTGTCATAAAGTGGTAAATTTTATTGACAGTAGTAAATTTACACTCAATTATGATAATAATTGTTCTGATAGTGAAACAAAGGTTCAATTAGTGGAGGACGAAAATTTATGTGAAAATAATCTTTTTCAAGAAATAAATAATAAAAATTCGTTGGAGAATATTTTGTCGTATGCGAGTAAGGAATTTCAGAGAGCCGAGAAAAGTAGAGATTTAACGGTTGCTTTTAAAATACGTGCCGATTTGTACAAAAGAAAAAATTTGTCGAATGAAAAAAAATTAAAAACAAAAGAAAAATCATTGAAGGAAAATCGTGATATAAAACAAGATTGTTGCATTGTTCCAAATTGTAAATCTGGTCGACGTATCACAAGGCATTGCTTTCCAAAAGATAAATATTTTGGGAAAAAATGGATAAAGGCAATAAAAAGTCCCTTTTTAAGGGAAATGACATACGATTCCATTCGAAAGAAACGTCTCTCGGTTTGTTATTTACATTTTCCTGAAGACTCCTGGTATCATGGTGTTAAACCACGATTGAAGCAAGACGCAATTCCTTCACTTCAATTGCCGGAGAGATTTATTAAGAAGGAAGAATTGAGAGATAAGAAAAAATCCATTGATTTGCCGGTGGGAAATATTAATGATCTGCCGAATATTAAATTTGATATCATTGACATGACAATCACGTCAATAATGCCAAAAATTTGGGATTTTTCATCATCATTGACGACTGAAAATAATTCCATTAGAGAGAGCTCGTTTGTACTGTCGAAAATTATGGAGAATTTCAATGATAAATATCAATCAATTAATGATATTGGAATGCTTCCGTTTATCACGAAATATTCCAGGGAAATCGAAGTTTAGAGGAAAAAACAAACGATTGGTACGATTTTTTTAAATTAATGTTCTATTAATTCTTTTTAATAATTTAATTTAATTTAATAATATAATAATTAAAATATAAATATAAAATAAATTTTATTAATTAAAAGTAATTATTAAAAGTCAATTAATAAACTGATACTTAATATTATAAAATATTTACTATTACTATATTATTAATTAAAATTATTAAAATTATTATTAAATTCAAGTAAATGTAATTAAAATTTCAATAATTTTAATTTTACTAATTAAGAATAATTATTAAAAATTAATGAATAAATTGATAATTAAATAATAAGCAAAGTAATTAAAAGTGAGTATCACAAACTTTATGATCGACGATTACTATAGAGAAAAAATTTGTTTCATAAGGAAAACAATAAAATTTTTTGTTTACGAATGTTTTTTCTTTTTAAATTATATTGACAAGGAAAGTTTCTAAAGTAATGTGAAAGAGAAAATTTAGAAAAATTTAACAAAGAAAAATATTTTTCCTTCTCAGTTATAAATTATAAACATTGTTAAACTTCACAAAAGTTTTTATTTATATTATTCTTTGAAAAAAGGAAAATTTTCTGCTTTTATATAATCATTGGCACAAAAAAAAATCATTAACGACTTAATCAATAGTTACAATAATAATAATAATAATAATAATAATAATAATAATAATAATAAATAAAACAAGTAAAATAAATAAAATAAAATTATTAATTTTACTCATAATACGACGAAGTAATAGATAAATTGTAAATATTCACTAATGATAAAATTACATACTTAATAGATTAAGGCAAAATAAATGTTTTTTTTTAATATCGTCGGAATATAATATTAAAATATTATTATTATTATTATTATTATTATTATTATTATTATTATTATTATTATACAAATTTAATAAATAAATAAATTCAATAATAAAAACAAATAATAAAAATACATAAATTCGAATTAATATTATTATTATTATTATATTAATTTTCAGTAATTAAAAGTAAATAAATAATAATAAATAATAAATAAATAATATAATTAAAATTTATTCATTTGATGTGCATTAGGATTTAAAATAATTTGCAATGATTCATTCTCTTTTGGAATTATTAACTAATTATTGAATTTAGGACACAATTGTTAATGAAAATAGTTTAAAACAATGATTTTAGTGTTATTTGAAAGCTGGTCAGAGTGCCAATGTTTATAGCAAGAAATTTTTCCAAGAGCAGAGTGGCGCAGTGGAAGCGTGCTGGGCCCATAACCCAGAGGTCCGTGGATCGAAACCACGCTCTGCTAACTATTTTTTTTTCTTCATTTATCCACAGAAACTTTTTCAACTTATTTTATTTATACAAAAAAATTTTTAACAATTTTTTATTTTGAAAATTGCGTAAATTCAGAATATTATTCTTGATAATTTTGAAAATTTTAGTTATAATAACTAAATAATAATTATAATTATATTAATTAAAAAAAAGATTTCTTACTACTAAAAATTTTTTGTCATAAAAATTTTATGACAATGTTTTTTTTATTGATGCGATTTTAAAAAATTATAAATAATCAATAAACAAAAAATATTCTTTTTGAGTGAACAAATATGTTTTTCTTCCAATCAAAGATCATAAATTTTATGAACTTTATCCAGATTGTATAATAATTAAAATCATAATTAATTTTAATTGTATACCTAATATTAATTAAAAATATAATTTCAAATCTATAATTAAAAGTATTTATAATTAAAATCGTAATAAATTTTAAATGTACAATTTCAAAAAGTACAATTGCATAATTTCAATTTATTAAATTGAAATTCTGTAATTTAAATTTAATTATTAATAACTAAAATAGTATCTAATTAACTTTAAATGTATAATAATAAAAAATATAACTGAATTATTTAATTATTAATAATTAAAATCGTAATTAACTTTAATATATTGCCCTTTTTTGCACCGCGTTATGAAAAATATAAATTTTATTTCTGTAATTAAAATTATTAATCTTATTAATAAAAATTATAATTATTGAAATTATTGCCGTAAACAACTTTAATTTACATTTAAAATAAAAATTCTCTGAATATTATTAAATTGTTATTAATTAAAAACTACAGAATAAAATAATCCAATTAAATTCAATTATAAACAGAAAAAAAGGAATGGCAAATAATGATATAAATTTTCGACAGGTTTCAGTGAATCTCAAAAATCGAGCTGTGCTACTTTTGAAGATTAAAAATTTTGTAAAAAAAATCGAATGGTAGGTATCAAATTTTCTACAACTTTTAAAAGAAAAAGAAAGATTGTTACTTTTATGAAATATTTATTTACATTGTCGAGAACATTTTTATAATAATAATTTCTTGATAAAAACTATAGTTGAGAAACAATAAAAACAATATAAAAAACTAGAAAAAATCTATTACTACCTGTTTGACAAGAAAAAAAATAAAGATGTAATTAGATATAATTATAGATAAAATTTATCTATAAAAAAATCCGATAAATTTATATCTCTTTATAAAAATATGAATAATGTGAAAAAAAAATTGTTTATTATTTATCAGAGTTTAAATTCAAAGATACTGCTCCAATTTCAATTCCTTTATGTCCTTTGTTAAATAAATTAACGGATCCGGTTTCACTTGATAATATATTGTGTGAATTAAAATTTCGTTCATAAAGCGAATTATAATTTCGGTTGATTTTTTCTTTAAAGAATCGAGCGCTGAGCATAGAACAAGTGGCAGTGAGGTTACATATTGTAATCTATCGTTGTTCTTCTTGCAATAAGCTCCTTTAGCCTTTAATTCTGAAAATTGGAAAATTTACTTTTTTTTTAACTCTATTCACTAACTTTTAAAATTGCAATAAATTGTTGAACATTCAAATCAAATTTAATTAATACAAATCAAATGAACTAAAATAAACGAAATTTTTTTTAAATATTAAAAAATATTTTCAAAAATTATCACATTGAATTGAAAAATAATATAAAAATTATTTTGCGTATTTATTTTATAGTTAAAAATTAATTATTGATATAAAAATTAAAATTAAAATTAAAATTAATTTAAATTTTTAACGAACTTACCTTGAAAGAAGCTCATGTACTTTTCAATTTCAATACCGCAGCTTTCTTCCGCTGTTTTAATAGCCAAATGATATTTTTCCACATTTTTGAAAATTCTATTAACAATCTTCACGAACCAAGAGGAGACCTCGAGTCGTTCGTTAAATTCCTTTAGTCCAAGAAAAGTGTTTAGCCAAATTTCTATTTGATCCTCACATTCATAAAATGCTCGAGGCACTTCCAATAATTTGACAATAGAACTCTTTACTTTATCGAATAATGGCGAATCCTCGTCAAGCGCCATTAGTAAAAATAAAAGAGACTCGCCATAAAGTTCCTATTGGAAAAATTAAACATTTTTTTAAAATAAATGAATTAATTAATGAAATTTATTAATTTTTAAATTATCAAAGGATTATTAAAAGTAGGAATTAAGTAGAAATTATTATTATAATTTTTTTTAAGTAAATTTACCTGAGCTGGAGTAAACATAAAAGCGTTGGTAGAAAGAAGAAAATCGATGGCGAGTATATTTAAGTCGCTTTGTAAATTTTCTGGAATTTCCAACGGATTTGTGAGTCCAGTTAATAGCATTGTGAAATTGACGTCGGTTTTTACGTTTAAATAAACTAATGCAGGAAAAGCTTCTTGATAAGCTTTCAATAAATTTAAAATCGAAACTAATGTTTCATCTATCGATGGAGTGTCGATTTGTTCTTCGGTTATTTCCTCCACACTCGGTTCGAGAGCTTTCTTCCAAACTCTTAGACATCTTTCGAAAATTGGCGCATTCTGCAAATTATTTTAATCAAATTATTACAATTATTAATAATAATAAAGTAAATGTTTCGGTAATCTGTTCGCAGTTTGAAGATAGTTGTTGTTTGCTTTTTTACAATTAAAATTTACAATTTTCTTAACTCGATTACAATTTTTTTTTCAAATATTTTCAATTTTAAAATTAATGTATTGAAAATCATCGAATTGTTGCAAAGAATTTTATCAAAAAATTTGACAATAATAGAATTCCATCAAAGAATTTTATTATTTAGGAAAATAACTGAATTCTCGCAAAGAATTTTATTAAAATTTTTAAAAATCCTAATTAAATTCTTTAGAAGAATTTCTTTGAAATTTTTTTAAACTAATGGAGTTTCTTTAATAATTTTAATTGAAATTTTTGAAAGTAATTGAATTTTATGAAGAAGTATTTTATTAAAATTGAATTGAAAATAATTGAATTCCTTCAAAGAATTTATTAAAATTTTAGGAAATAATTGAAATTAATGGAAATATTTAAAAATATTTGAATTCATCCGAGAAATTCAATTAAAATTGTTTTGTAAATAATTGAATTCCTACAAAGGATTTTATTATTTATAAAAATAATTGAATTATTGCGACGAATTTTACTATTTATAAAAATAATTGAATTATTGCGAAGAATTTTACTATTTATAAAAATAATTTAAATGTTTCGAAGAATTTATTAAAATTTTAAGAAATAATTAAATTATTATGAAGAATTTTATAAAAATATTTGAAAATAATGAAATTTTTTCGAGAGATTCAATTAAAGTTGTTTCGAAAATAATTGAATTTATCACAAGAATTTTATTATTTTTTTGAAAATAATTGAATTCTTTCAATTTTTTTGACAAATATATTTAAAAATTGCATTGAAAGTAATTTAATTTTTAATTGGAATTTTTAAAAAATATTTTGAGAATAATTTAATTATTTTTAGAGAATTTTAAATTCTTGTTGAAATTGAATTTTATGGAAATTTTTGAAAATAATTAAATTCTTTCGTGTAATTTTATTTAAATTTGATTAAAAATAATTTAATTCCTGCAAAGAATTTTAGTATTTATAAAAATAGTTGAATTGCTTCGAAGAATTTATTAAAATTTTAGGAAATAATTGAAATTTATGGAAATATTTAAAAATATTTAAATTTATCCGAGGAATTCAATTAAAATTGTTTTGAAAATAATTGAATTCCTGCAAAGAATTTTTCTATTTATAAAATAAATTGAATTCTTGCGAAGAATTTTACTATTTATAAAAATAATTGAATTTTTTCGAAGGATTTATTAAACATTTAGAAAACAAGTTGTTCATTTCATGATCATTAAGCTTCCTCAACATAATATATACCAATTGTTTAATTTTTTATTTTAGAATAATTATTTTAAAGTGTTATGATAAAATGTCAAAAAATACAAAATTTCAATTTTTTGTGAAAAATTAAAATATTTATTAACCCCTTCACTGTCAGTGGGCTCTATAGAGCCATAAAAATGTCGTGCCCTGTATGTCCATGGGCTCTATAGGGCCATCGAAAGAAAAGACATTTAAAAGTTAACGAATCTGGTTAAAAATCCTTACTCGGGGGTTTTCGGGGTCGCTGAATCCAAATCCGTTGTCGAAAATTCAAAATTCAAAATGGCGGCTTCAAAATGGCGCCCAAAAAAATTTTTAATTTAACGAATCTGTCTGAAATTGCCTTAAAATGCCTACTCGGGGGTTTTCGAGGTCGCTGATTTCAAATCCGTGGTCAAAAATTCAAAATTTAAAATAGCAGCCTTAAAAAGGAGACAAAAAAAAATTTTTAAGTTAACGAATTCCTTAACTTTAAAATTTTTTTTGGTCGATATTTTGAAGCCGCCATTTTGAATTTTGACTTTTTGACCACGGATTTTGAATTAGAGACCTTAAAAACATATAATATGACAATATCATGATTTTAAAAAAAAAAATTTTTTTGAACACTTATGGCACAAAAACTTTATTTTCACTTGACTGTGAAGGGGTTAATTCTATAAATTTTGATAAAATATATACTTTATATACATGAATCGATTCGTTTTTATGCCAGGAATGCAATTTTGACAAGAATTAATAAAAATTTTAATATATATAAAAGTTATTTCAAAAAATCCAAAAATTAATTTTTTCAAAAATTAAAAAATTGTTGAAAAAATTTTTTTTTTAGATATTTTTGAAAATCCTTTTGTCTGATTTTTGGTATTCATGACCGTAATACACCTACAAAATTTTATCAAAATCCATCAAGACGTGTAAGAGAAAATTTGTCCACAAGAATCGGTGACACACACACACACACACACACACACACACACACACACACACACACACACACACACACACACACACACACACACACACACACACACACACACACACACACACACACACGCACATACATACACACATACATCCGGACATTTGTTCCTCTCGACGAATTATATATACTACACTTGAAAATTTGTTAAAATAATTGATTCTAAAAAATTCAGAAATCGACATCACTATAAGGCTTCTTTTATGAGGAAGCAAAAATTGAATTTTTTCTAAATGTGTTAAAATTTTTTTTAAAAATTGAATTCTTTCGTGAAATTTTATTAAATTTTTTGAAAATATGAACAGTAATAATTAAATTTGTACTTAATAAGGGAATTTTTAAAATTTTAATTATGAAATTATTTCAAAAATTTATATTTGAAAATAAAAAATTTTGTAATTTGCATAACAATAATAAATTGAATAACATGTTCCACGCGTAACATTTGCTAGTAAATTAATATTTTTCTACAAATTATAATATAAATAAAAGGTAAATAAATAAAAGGTTTATTAAAGGTTTCAAACCTATAAATTAATGGTTTCAACCTTTAATTTATAATTATAATAATTTGTAATTAATTAACGATCACTCCGTATCAAATTTGACTCGAAGTTTATTATTATTATTATTATTATTTTGTTACTATTTTGTTAAAAATATTTTAATTTTCCAAAAAATGAAGATTTTTTACTTACTTCCGTCATGTATTCAATTAAATGATTATTGAAGATCTGAAATTTTGTGCATTCGAAATAATCTTCGGCTAGTGATAATAATTTTTTCGTTTGATTCAACATTGTGGTGAATAGTAAAACACTTTCGTGGCGAACTCGTCTATTACTATGAAGTAGAGCGGGTGCGACTGCCTTTCTTAAAACTATCATTGGAAGAGTTAAATTTATCACAGTATTTGCAAAATGCTCGATTTTTAATTCCGACAATTCTTTGGCATCTTGGAAGCATTTTTCAATGTCCAAAGAATTTATTACCTAAAAACAAAATTGCAATTAAGTGGCATCACTTTAAAATATTTTTCTCGCTAAATTATTTTATTCACAAGTTTTTCGTTAAAAAATGTTTTTTAAACTTTTCTAAATTTGAATTAGTAATTAAATGTTTACTAATTTGAATTATTGACTGATATTTTCTTATTAAATTAGTAAATTTTACTATTTACTAAATTAATAAATTTATTAATCAATTTTACTAATTAATTTTTAAGAAACATTTTTGTTAATTCAAATTTATAGAGAAGGAAAATTTGTTTAAAATTTAATTTTTCTTTTCTAATTTGTTGAAATTTTCCTCTAAAAAAAGAATAAAGGAAAAATTTTTTAGAGAAAAATTTTTCAATTGAAAAGTGACAATAATTTAGTAGGGAAAGTTAGTATTTCCCTACCAAATAATAATTAATTTCAGTATTTCTTTCTCCTTAATTTGTTAATTAGGAATTACCTGATTTAAAAATTGGATTAATTTAATCCACTTGGTTGTGGCTTTCGGCGATAGAAAAGGTTCTGTTTGAGTAATTTGTGCTTTCATCAAATCAGGACAAGCTCTTAGAATTTGAACAACTAAATCGCCAGGTTTATCGTGCTCCCAAGGACGATCGAGACTTTTCAGCACCGTGCTCACTAATTGATTATTTTTTCTACCCTGACCAGTGCCTAGACTTTTATCTTGAAATATAATTCCGTACTTTTTCGAAGTCATCAGTATTAAAAGAAATTCGTGTACAGCTTCAACTGCAATCTAAAAAAATGCGTATTTATTTTCAAAACAACTCTTATTCATTATAGATTATGAATTCTTAATTACTAATTAATACTCCCAGACTTCGCACTCGATAATTAATTTTTATAAAAGTAGCAAAAAATTCCATTCCATATTTTTTATTTTCCTGACTTTTTCCTAATTTTCATGGAAAATATTTACTTCTTTCTTATCCTGCTAATAAAATGAATTCCTGCAATGAATTTTATTATTCATGAAAGAATTTAAATATTTATAAAAATAATTTAATTCTTGAAAAGAATTTTATACAAATTTTTAAGTAATTCATTTCTTTCGACTAATTTTATGAAAATTCTAATTTTAATAATTGAATTCTTGAGAAATTTTTCTTATTCATGAAAAGAATTGAGTTCTTACGAAGGTTTTTACAAAACATTTGTTAAATAATTAAATTCTGTTCGGAAATTTTATGAAAATAGTAGATATTAAAAATTACTGAATTGCGAAAAGTTTGTAAAAATAATTAAATTTTACAAAGAATTCAATTAAAATTTTTGACAATAATTGAATTCTTACGAACAATTTTATTAGAATTTTTAAAAATAATTGAATTTCCAAGAAGAAATTTATTACTTTTAAAAATAATTGAATTCTTGTCATGAATATGGTTATTTATGAAAATAATTGAATTTTGCAAAAAATTTTAACTATAAATGCCTCAAAATAATTGAATTTTTGGGAATAATTTTGTTATTTATCTTTAATAATTGAATGAATAAATCTTTAAATTGAATAATTTATCTTTAATAATTAATTAAAAATAATTAAATTCTTGGGAAGAATTTTATTAAAATCTAAAAGAATAATTGAATTATTTCAAAACAATTTAATTAAAATTGTATTTAAAATAATTGATTTCTTTCGAACAATTTTATAAAAATTCTAATTTAAATAATTGAATACCTACCTAAGAAATTTTTATTAGTCATGAAAAGAATTAAATTCTTACCAAAATTTTTACAAACATTTTTTTATATAATTGAATTCTGTTTGGAAATTTTATGAAAATAAAATAGATATTGAAAATCATTAAATTGCGAAAATTTTTAAAAAACATTTTAAATTTTACAAAGAACTCTATTATAATTTTTGTGAATAATTGAATGTCTGTGTGGCATTTTATTGAAATTTTTTTGAAAATAATTAAATTTCTAAAAAGCATTTTATTATTTATGAAAATAATTGAATTCTTGCGAACGATTTTGTTAGAATTTTTTAAAATAATTACATTTTTAAAAAGAAATTTATTACACTTTTAAAAATAATTGAATTTTGCAACAAATTTTATTAAAATGCCTCAAAATAATTGAATTTTCGTGAACAATTTTGTTATTTATCGAAACAATTGAATTCTTTCCAAGAATTATTTATGTAAATAATTGAATATTTAGGAATAATTTTATTAAAATCTAGAAAAATAATTGAATTTAAATTGTATTTAAAATAATTGATTTCTTTCGAACAATTTTATAAAATTATTTTTGAAAATAATTGAATTTTTCCAAAGAATTTGAAAAAAACATTTTTTTAAATAATTGATTTTTTCGAGGAATTGAAATTAAGTTTTTAAGAATAATTACATTTTTTGAGCAATTCCTGTAAAATTATATTAAAAATAATTGAAATGCTGCAATGAATTTTGTTATTTTTTAAAGTAATTGAATAGTTGCTAAGAATTTTATTAAAATTTTCAAAAATAATTTAATTCCTGAGAAGAATTTTATTATTTATGAAAAGAATTGAATTATTGCGAAAAATTTTAAGAATATGTTTAAAAATTCTTCATAAGAATTTTATAAAAATTGTTTTAAATAAGTATTTTTTCGATATATAATAAATATTATGGAAACTTTATTTTAAATAATTGAATTCTTGTGGAAAACTTTATTTGTGAAAAGAATTGAATTTTTCGATTAATTAATTTAAAATCTATTAAAAATAATTGAAATTTTGCGAAGAGTTTTATTATTTATGAAAGTAATCGAATTCTTGCTTAGAATTTTATTTATTTTTTTTTTAAATTAAATTTGCATGAAAAATATTATTATTAGTGAAAGTATTTGAATTATTGAAAAGAATTGTACAAAAATTGGGTTAAATAATTGATTTTTTTGAAAATGCTATTCTAAATTCTAAATTAATTGAATTCAATGTGGAAATTTTACTATTTATGAGAATAATTGAATTTTATTAATAATTTTTAAAATAATTGAATTCTTTTGTGAAATTTTATGAAAATACTAGATATTGAAAATAATGGAATTTCGAATATTTTTTGAAAATAATTGAATCGTTTTAAGGAAGTTGATTATAATTTTTGAAAATAGTTTTTTGATTTCTAGTCTTAGCGAATTTAAAGTAGTGGAAATTCTCAAAAAAAAAAAAAAAAAATAGTAGCTTTCAGTGGCTGAAATCTAAAAAAGTACCCAAATAGTAACATAACGTAAAAAAGTAGTAAATAGGTTTTAGTAGATGAGTGCGAAGCCCCTTTTTAAAATACAAAAATACCTCTTTTTCCTCGGGATCGATTTTCTCCTGTTTCGTTTTCTCCTTCTCCTTCTTTAAACCAGGCCAATTTTTCGGGCCCTTCCAATTGTACAAATTCACAAGACTCTGCACAACTTGAGTCGTGAAAATATGAAGTTTCATTGTTTTAGTGATGGTGAGATTTTCGAGAACGTATTTTTTCACTGTTGTCAATGCCAAATTGACTGTGTCATGTGAATCGTATATTAAATCGGGAAAAATACTTGGAAGTATATCACGTTTTTCCAAAAGTGATCTGATTGTATTATTTCGTCCGTCAATGAGGAATGCGAGGATAAAGTGTATAAATGATGTTCTCACATTATTTCGATCAGTTGGTTTTGTGAGACGTGTGACTGTTTCTAAAATTTGTGAATTTAATGAGAGATTCGTTAAAATATCACGAGGAATTGTGCCACCGAGTGTTATCATTGTTGTGAGCATTTTTAAAATTGTCTTCCTCTGCTTTGCATTACTTTGATTCGAGAGCATTGATTGCATTGACGATGTGTGAGTGTTTATTAATCGTCTGCAGGTTTCTTCTGTCTTTGTGTATTGCTCCGATCCCTCTGGATACAGTCCCAAGACTCTGTAAATAAAATTGTTCATTTTTTATTTTTTTGTTTCATTTTCTTCTTCTTTTGAAATATTTTTGTTTATTTCAAGTTTTTGTCAATTTTATTTTGTTTCTGTCACAGGGTTGCCACGCTTTTGCTCATTTCAAATTTCCTGACTTTTCCAGGTTTTTAAAACTACATTTATATTTTACAAAATTAAATAATTACCTAGTCATTATTATTTTTTAATAGGAAATAAAATTCTTCAAAAGATTCAAATTCAAACCTTTTTGAAATGAAACAAGTTATAAAACATGACCGACTGATAAAATCATTATTTTATATTATAAGAATAATATTGTTACTGTAACTTATTCAAAATTGCTTTCATCACTTCAATTCAATTATTGTTTTCCAGAATTTTTAACTAAAATTCTTCTTTAAATTAATTATTTTTAATAATTTTTGAAAAATTTCTTTGGAAATTTTCAAATTATTTTGTTAACAATTCAATTTTACGAAATTTCATCGTATATTTGGAAATTCTTCAATCAAATATATATTAGAAAATAAAAACTTCGAATAATAAATAAATAAAATTAAATTCGAATTCGAATTCGAATAATTAATAAAAAAAATTTAATTTACACAATGAAAAATTCAAACATTCAAAGATAATTTGAAACCTTTTCAAAATTCAATTATTTCGAAAAATTCACGCTATAATACTTACATTTAGCAAAAATGTTTACTAATTGGAATTAGTAAAAAATGCTTGTGAATTAGAAAATTTTACTATTAAAAATTCATAATTCCTAATTAGTAGAAACGACTATTTATTAGTAAAATCTGCTAATTCATGAGCAATAAGTCAGTCACTAATTAAAATTAGAAAACATTTTTACTAATTCAAATTTAGAGTTTAATATTCAATTAAATGTTTTTTAAATTGAACTCTCATTTAAAGAATTTTATCAACAAATTTTTAAATAGGCAATTAAAATACTTTTGACGAATTTCAATCAAATTTTTAAGAATAATTTCATTTTTTGAGAAAGTAAATTAAAATTGTATTAAAAATAATTGAATCTCTGTAAAAAATTTGATTGAATTGAGAAAAGTTTTTGAAAATAATTGAAATTTTGACAAGAATTTTATTCAAATTTTTGAAAATAATTTAATTTTGGAGAAAAATTTTATTATTTATAAAAATAATTGAAATAATAATAATAATTTTGAAGAGGAATTTTTTAAAACCTTTGACCATAATTTAATTTCTGCGAAGAATTTTATTACTTTTGAAAATAATTGAATTCTTGAGACAAATTTTTAATGAATTCTTTTGTAAAATTTTATTGAAATAGTAGATATTGAAAATAATGGAATTTTGATAAATTATTATTGAAATTAATTAAATTTCTATAAAGAATTTTATTAAAATTATTTTGAAAAAAATTGAATTGTTAAAAAGAATTTCATTAAAATTTTTGAAAATAATTTCTAATAAATAAATTATTCGAAGGCTTTTTAAAATAATCGAATTTCTTTGATGAATTTTAATAAAATTTTTAAGAATAATTACATTTTTCGAGAAATTCCATTAAAATTGTATTAATAGGTAATAATTGAAATTCTACGATGAGTTTTATTATGTATTTATGAAAATAATTGAAAACTTATAAAGTTTTTTTAATTACGAATGAAGATTTCGATTTTATCTTCATTCGTAATTAAATTTCTATTCTATATAGAATTAAAAATTCTCAAGCAGCGAAAAATTCTAACATTAAATATAAAGTTTTTTATTATTTATGAAAATAATTGAACCTCTTTAAAAAATTTGATTATTTATGAAAATAATTTAATTATTGCGAAGAAATTGATAAAGAATTTGTAAATAATAGAATTCCTGTGCAATTTTTATTATTTAATTAATTCATTCATAATTAAAATTTGGACGATAATTTTTTTAAACTTTTGATCATAATTGAATTTCTGCGAAAAATTTTATTACTTTTGAAAATAATTGAATTCTTGAGACGAATTTTTTAATAATATTTCTTTTTAAATACATAATTGAATTCTTTTGTGAAATTTTATTGAAATAGTAGATATTGAAAATAATTAAATTTTGATAAATAATTGAAATTAATTAAATTTCTACGAAGAATTTTATTAAAATTATTTTGAAAAAAAATTGAATTTTTAATAAGAATTTCATTAAAATTTTTGAAAATAATTTGATTCTCTCAAGAAATTTAATTGAAAATTTATTGACAATAATACCTACTTAAATTCTAATAAATAAATTATAGGAAGGCTTTTTAAAATAATTGAAATTCTTTGATGAATTTTAATAAAAAATTTTAGAATAATTCCATTTTTGGAGAAATTCCATTAAAATTGTATTAAAAATAATTGAAATTCTGCGATGAGTTTTATTATTTATGAAAATAATTGAAAACCTGTAAAGTTTTTTATTATTTATGAAAGTAATTGTATCTCTTTCAAAAATTTGATTATTTTTGAAAATAATTGAATTATTGCGAAGAAATTTATAAAGAATTTGTAAATAATAGAATTAAGTGAAAGTGATAAAAAAAATTGTTCTTTTTATTAAATAATTTTTGTACTTGATTAATAAAAATGAAAAATTACCTAATGACGAGCAAATGAACAGCGGAAAATAAAGTGGCAATGTTATTGATATTTTTTTTGTCAGTTGTGTCGAAAACTTTGAGAATTTCAAGAACACTGCCACCTTCCTCAAGATAATCGGCGGCTAAATCGTAATTTTTATTTTCATTGCAAACTGTTACGAATGTTCGAACTTCGTCAAAAGCGTATTCCTTTTGAAAACTATTTCTCAGAGATTTTCCAGTTATTTCGAATTTTTTTGATTTTTGTTTATTTATTTTTTCCTCGTTTTTCGTCGTTTCATTCTCGTCACTATCGTTAGAATCATCATTTTCTCCTTCTGCTGTGACATCAACAGATTTTTTTGCCTTTTTCTTATTGTTATCTTCTTCTTCTTCCTCTTGTTCTGCCTCTACTATAGAAAGGAAAAATTTCGCAATAAATAAATATAAAATTAAACTAATTGAATTCAAAATAATTAATTAAATAAATGAAATTAATGTTAAACAATAATTCTTTTTTATTGTAGGTATTAAAAATAATTTAATTTGAGCGAAGAATTTTAAATTAATTTATTTCTTATGTAGAATTTAATTTTATTTACCATATAAATAAGTGAATTTTTTAATAATTTAACTGGGATAAAATAGAGAAAAATTATTTAATTAAAAAAAGGAAAAATTGTCTTTACCTGAAAATTCGTCAAGTGCTTTTGTTTCACTCTTCTTTCGTTTCTTCTTTTTTTCCTGAGCGACAAATTCTTCGGTGCTATTTTCAGGAACTTTTTGCCTTTTCAAAGGTACTTCGATTTCTCCCTGATCCTCTGTTGAAGTTATCTTTTTCTTTGATTTTGCCATTTTTTTTAGTGAACCAATTATTTTCAGAATTAAATTCTATTTCAATAAAATCCCTTATTTTTTTATTTTTAATGTCCTAATCAAACACGTGCTTTTTTGGAAAACATTGAAACCTAACCTCAAAAAATTAACTTTGGTCACTTTGTTATTTGACACGTTTAACATTAAGTATTTTACAATTTTGTTTTAAATACTACTAGAAAATAAGGATATTAATTGATGCCTTTCGTTAAATTAACTCACTTATTTACATATTTATAATATCACATATTTATTTCTATTTTCAATGAGTAAAAAATTGTTTTGGAATCAAATATACACGAAGTTAGCAAACAATGAAAGAAATTGTCGAGATTTATCGATTTTTATGACGTCAGTGTAAACCATAGAATTACTAATGTAGATGAGAAAGTAAACTCACTGATGTGTGCTAAACAGTATTTTTACTGTTTCTAAATTTAATATAGATGGCACTGATGTTAATTATCGAGTTTTCTTTCTTATATATTCATACTCTATGAATGAATTTTTGACAAGTGAATTTCGATACATTAATCGAAATCATCGAAATTACAAGTTTATTGACTATATTCACTTGATTGAAGTCACATGTTCAATTGCGCATCCAAAAGAAAAGTGACATTTTTATTGTTCATTATTTATTTAGTTTATTATTTATTACACTTTAATTAAACAAGTGATTACCCTTGAAAATGTTATATCAAATTTGATAAATTTTCAAATAAAAGTGAGAATTATTGTACAATAATTCAAAAAAGGAAAGGAAACAAAATTTAATATTTTTTGTTTTGATTCTGTCAGAAAAGTATATTTTTATAATACATATATATGTATATATTGAATATTATATAAAAGTGTTTGATAACCAAATACTTGAAAATCGGTTTTTTTATTATAATATATAAATATATGACAAAGAATAATTAAAAATAATAATGATTTCTACAAAATCGGTGAATTTTCAAAAAAAATATGAATTACCTGAGGGAACATCTATTTTGGAATCACAAGTGGCTGGACATCCGTTCGACGTGGAGAAAAATACAATTAGTATGTTTATCTTCTTTAAATATACTTAATGATAATTAGTTTCATTCATTTTTTTTTCTTGTTGGATTTATTATGTAATTTAAAAATGAAAGTGGTTTTTTTTCTACGAGTTTTTTTTACTAATGAAATATTTTTTTTTAAACAAATTATAAGTAGTGAAATATTTAATTTAATTAAATATTAAATTATCATGAACGGTAAGTGCTGTCAATTATGTTAATTATAATTAATTATATATTAAAAGTAGTTTAAAAGTCGATTATAATTTTGAAAAATTTTATCCTCATTTAATTTTTCCGTAGCGATGAATTTTAAAATTGAATAATTTTCTATTTTTAATTACAGGCATGCTGAAAAGTGATAACGGTCATGTTTTAAAGCCTGTATCGAAAATTTTACTTGGAAAGAGAGAAATTGAATTTTACGAAAATTTACAAAATGCTTCCGATGATATTTCATCGCAATTGTTACGATTCATTCCAAATTATTATGGAACAAGGGAATTGGAAATTACTGAAAAATGTATGTATTAGCAATTTTTATCATAATTTCATTTATTTACTTTATTTATTTATTTGTTTGTTAATTATTTATCTATTTATTAATTTGTTCATTTGTCTATTTTTTTATTTGTTTGTTTGTCTATTTTTTTGTTTATTTGTCTATTTTTTTGTTTTTTTTGTTTTTTTTTGTCTGTTCGTTTATTTATTTATTTGTTTAATAACTTTTTTCAAGAAAATAATTTTCCTACCTATAGTTTTAGAATTTTTTGAATATTATTTCCTGAAGGATTTATAAAATTGTTACGATTTTTTCAGCAACGACATTTTTAGAATTGGCTGACATAACGAAAGGTATGAGTGAACCTTGCGTTATGGATATTAAAATTGGAAAAAGAACGTGGGATCCTCTTGCAGGGGAAGAGAAACAAATTGCCGAAGGAAAAAAATATGTGGAATCAAGACGTGCCTATGGATTTTGTATTCCAGGTTTTCAAGTCTATCGACTGTCTGATGGTCAATTGAGAAAATTTGGCAAAGATTATGGCAAACAATTGAATGAAAAATCTGTCATTGAAGGTACAGTTGGAATGTTTGAAATCTAAAAATTATTATATTAAAAATAATTGAAATCTTATAAAGAATTTTTTCACTTCTTTCGAAAAGTTTTATAAAAATTTTCAAAAATAATTGAATTCTTTAGAAAGATTGTTACTTAAAATTTTAGAAAATAATTGAATTCCAGCAAAAAATTTTATTATTTATGAAGATAATTGAATTCTTGAGAAGAATTGTATGACAATTTTTAGGGAATAATTAAAATCTTTTAAAAAATTTATTGAAATTTTGAAAAGATTGAAATGTTTTCAACAATTTTATTATAATTTTTAAAAACAATTGAATTCTTTTGAAGAATTTATTTTAATTTTACCAGGAATTGTTTTCAAGTTTAAAAAACATAGTTAATAATTCTAAAAATAATTTTTGATTATTGAATTTTATTAAAATTTTTAGGAAATAATTCAATTCTTTTTAGAATTTTATCACAACTTTTGAAAATAATTGAATTATTTTAAGGAAATTTATTACAAGTTTCAAAAACAATTAAATTCTCTCGAAGAATTTCTTTGAATTTTACGAAGAATTTATTTTAACTTTTTATAAAATAATCGTCTTTGGTAATTTTAATTAAATTTTTAAAAATAATTGAATTTTTTATTAAAATTTTATAAAAAATAATTGAATTTGTACGAATAATTTAATTATTTATAAAATTAATTGAATTTTTGTGTAGAATTTTGGAAAATAATTGGATTTTGTTTACTAAAATTGCATTAAAAACAATTAAATTCATCCGAGAAATTTTAGTATATTTATAACAATACATTTAATTATTGATGTACGGAATTGAATTCTTCCGAAGAATTTTATTAAAATTTTTTTAAAATAATTGAATTCTTTCGAAAAATTTTATTACTGTTTTTGGATTGATGGAAAAATTTTAAGGAAATTCTTAGGAAATAATTGAATTTTTTCGAGATATTTATTAAACATTTTTAGGAAATAATTGAATTAACTCAAGGATTTATAACAATAATTGAATTCTTGTGAATAATTTTAATAAAAGTTTTGAAAATAGTTAAATTCTTGACAAATTTTATTACTTATAACAATAATTGAATTTTTCCAAAGAATTTTATTAAAATTTCGTAAATTATTGAATTGTTTCGAGGAATTTTTATTAAAATTGTAATAAAAATAATGAATAATAATAATTAATTAATAAGTGGTTTTTTTTAAAAATTTTTATTCTGAAATAATTGTAGAATTGAGTTTTAAGTTTATTGAATTTCAATTAAACAATTGCAATTTTCTATTTCTTTCAGCACTGGAATTATTTCTCAATATTTCCACAGGCAATTTACCAAATCGAGATTTAATATTAAAACTTTTGTCATTTTTGTGGAAGATATTGGCATTTTTTCGTGCACAAAAAAAATATCGTTTCTATTCGAGTTCATTATTAATAGCATACGATGCAATGAAATTACGTCAATTAACACGTTTAAATGGCCATCAAAATGAATCATCATTGCCATCAATGAATCGTAGTAATACATTTTCACATTCATTGAATTCCGTTGATATTCAAAGTCAGCCGGTTGTCATTGAAAATGGCATAAAAGGACTTTTTAAAAGTGCATCGCCAACATTTTTAAAGAGAGCAATTCACAATCGAACATTAGATAGATTTCAAACGTTAAAAAGAAGTCTATCGAGTCATGAGATAACGAAAAAAGAAATTGACAAACAACAAACAACAGCAACATCAACGCCTATTGTGAATTTCGAAGAAAATCGATTATTTCGAACACATTCTTACACTCATAATTTTGATAATGATATTAAGGAAATGAAGGAGGATTACGCGACAATTCTCGCTGAACTTTGCGGTAAATCAAAGGAACAACAAAATTGGGTGCGAATTAATATGATTGATTTCACTCATGTCTTTCCTGCCGATGATGATGATTTTGATCACAATTATCTCGAGGGTCTTGAAAGTTTAATTAAACTTTTGGAAAGATTTTTGGCACGAGTAATAAAGAGAAATTAGTCGTAAGTCATATGAGAAATTGTGTCGATAACTAATTATAAATTAATATTAATTAATATTTGTATTTATATAATTTTTAATTTGAATTTATACAATTATACCACTAATTGCAATTTGAATTAATTATATTTATACGAATAATTGCAATTTCGATTAATTGTAAAAATCTTTCTAAAATTTCGAACGTTCAAATGAACGACGATATTTTTTTACTTTTAATTTTTTAAAAAATTATTTTGTATATTAAAAATTGGATTTTTAAATAAATTTTTAGTTTAATTATTTTTCTTTTTTGTATTAGTAATTTTGAAAAAATATTTAAATAGAAGCAAATTAAGTTCAAAACTTTAGGAATATTATATTTATACAAATAATTTCCAAATTAAATTAAATTAAATTCGATTAATTATAAAAATGTTTCTAAAGTTTCGAAAGTTCAAATGAACGACGTTTTTTAACTTCTTTTAATTTGTATTTTCTTTTTTTTTATAAAAAAATTAGTTTAAATTTGCATTTCCGACTAAATGTTTAATTTTAATTATTTTTCTTTTTTGTATCAGTAATTTTGAAAAATATTTAAATAGAAATAAATTTAATTCAATTGAACTTTCGAAACATTAGGAAAATTAGATTTAAATAATTGCAATTTGGATTAATTATATTTATATAACGAATTATAATTACAATATTAATTGAATTTTAATTAATTAATTAATTGAATACAATAAAAATAATAATTAAAATTAATTGTATAATAAATTAATAATATTAATAATTATTGATTATTATACAATTATAATTATTAACTCCGAATTAATTTTTATCGAACTTGTTGTGTTCCTTTCTCAACGTTGTGAAAGTGCCAAAAGAAGTCTATTATTATTTTTTTTAAATATATATTTTATAAAAATATTGTGCTTTTGCTAATCATTTTATTAATGTTACTTTTTTTATAAAGAGAATTTTTTGAAAAAAGACTCACTCGCCTTATGCAGCCAGAGAAGTAGTTTTATTAGTCTCGAAAGTTAAATATTTATTTTTCTATGTCGTCATTAAAGTGATAAGTAATTTTGATTCTAATAAAATATTTCTCTGGGCAATGGAATGTTAAACTATTGTAATATATTTTATTTTCTACTAATATACATGCAAAAAATTGTATTAATTATTTTCATAATTCGTAATTATTTTTATAGTATTATAATTATAATAATATAATGTAAACAGAATAATAGGTAATGTATATAACATTTTTTGACTTTATTATATATACATTATTTATATTACAATTATTTTTTATATAAATAATTATAATAATATTAATTATAATTATTACAATACTAATTATAATAATATACTATGAATTATATTGATAATTAATTTATTTTTTCAATTTTCAAGCACGAAAGTACTTATATTTAAAGTGTTTAAGTATTATGTAAAATTTATACATTTATAAACTTATAATATATATTTGTTACAATTTACTGTTATAATATTCTTACATTTACCCCAATAATATTGTGATTTTTAATCGAAAAATTAATTTTTTTCTTGTTTTATGTTTTTTGTAATTAATTGCATAAGATTTGTAAATATATTTTAAGTTTATATTTCTTTTTTCATCTATATCAAATTTAATTATATACAATTTAATTTTTATTAAAGTGCAATTTATACAAAAATATAATTTGTGTAAAAAAATAAAATTTATTTAAAAATGTAATTTGTATAGAAATAATGTTCCAAATCTCGAATAGTAAAAAAAATTAATTAAATTGTTTTGAATGTAAAATTATAATTTTTTAAATTTAACATATTTTTGTAATGTTTTGTAATATTTTTAATATTAATACAAAAGTAGTTAATAATCGAAATTTTTTGAAGAATATTACAAAATTTTAAAAATAATTGAATTTTTAGGAAAATTGTATTAATATTTTTAAAAATAATTAATTTCAATCAAAAGATTTTTATTATTTAGAATAATAATTGGATTTTTCTGAGAAACGGATTGAAATTGAATTAAAATTGCATCGAAAATAATTGATTTCTTTAGAAGAATTTTTAAAAAAAAATTTAAATAATTCAGTTCTTTCAAAACATTTTTATTATAATTTTGTAATTGCTTGAAAAAATTGAAATGATATTTTTATGATATAATTGAATTTTTCTGAGAAATTTATTGCAATTTTTTAAAATTACTGAATTCATTCAAGTAATTTCGTTTAAATTTTGAAAATAATTGAATTTGAATTGAATTATTGGAACTAATTAAATTCTTTTAAAGAATTTTTAAATTTTCTTTAAAATTTTTAAAATATTGTACTTTTTTAAAATAATTTTAAGTAAAAATTTTGATTCTCATAATTTTATTACAATTTTTGAAAATAATTGAATTTTTCACTACAAAATTTTATTAAAAACAATTAAAGAAATTTTATTATTTATAAAAATAATTGAATTCTTACAAATCATTTCAATATTTATGAAAGTAATTGAATTCCTGCGAAGAATTTTAATCAAAGTTTTGAAAATAATTGAATTTTTTTGCTAAATTTTGTATTGAATTTTTGCAAAGAATTTATTACTTTTAAAAATAATTGAATTTCTGCAATCATTTGTAATTTCTCCAAAATTCAATTTTCTTGGTGTTTTTAACTAAAATTCTTCTATAAATCCATTATTTTTAATAATTAATTAAATATATATTTAAAAATTTATTTAATTTCAGAAGAATTTGAATTATTAAAATTTTTCAAAAATCAAAGTTTTTTTTCAAAAAAAGTTCATTAAAATTTCTAATTAAATTCATTCAAAAATTGAAATTATTGTCAAAAATAGAAATAATTAAAGTTTTGCAAGGAATTTTATTAAAATTTTTGAAAATAACTGAATTTCGAATAAGAATTTAGCTTTTTATTAAAATGATTGAAATCTTGACGAGACTTTTTAAAAAAATTTTTAAATAATTGAATTCCTTCGACAGATGTTTTATAGAATTTTTAAAAATAATTGAATTCTTATAGAAAATTGAATTAAAATTGTATTAAAAATAATTGAGATTCTGCGATGAGTTTTATTATTTATGGAAAAAATTAAATTTCTAAAAATAATTTTATTATTTATGAAAATGAATCCCAGAAAAGAATTTTACTATTTTTAAAAATAATTGAACTTCGGCAAAGAAATTTTCTATTTATTAAAATAATTGAACTCTTGACGAGACTTTTTAAAAAAGTGTTTAAATAATTGAATTTCGGTGAAGAAATTTATTATTTAGCAAGATAAGATAGAATTGAATTCTTATTAAGAATTTTATCAACAAATTTTTAAATAATTGAATTCCTTCGACAGATATTTTATAGAATTTTTAAAAATAATTGAATTCTTTTAGAAAATTAAATTAAAATATTGTATTAAAAATAATTGAAATTCTGCGATGAGTTTTATTATTTATGGAAAAAATTGAATTCCTAGAAATAATTTTATTATTTATGAAAATGAATCCCAGAAAAGAATTTTACTGTTCTTAAAAATAATTGAATTTCGGCGAAGAAATTTGCTATTTATTAAAATAATAATAATAATAATAATAATAATAACAATTAGTTAATAAGTGAATCTTTTTAAATTTTATTTCTAAAATTATCCAAAAATTGAATTTAATATTCACAAATAAATTTTTTTGTAATTTGCATTTTAAATTAAATTAAATTCAATTCAATTTAATTATTTACCGCATTTTACGCGCTGGCCGTACGTAAAATTTGTTATTTTGTATAAAAATATATAATTAAAAAATAAAATGTAAGAAATTTTTTTTGCATGAAAATACTCAAAATAATGCAAATTAATTTTGTAAAATTGAAAAAAGGACGGGAAAAATTGATTTAATCAGATATTTATTAATCGTTATTCACTTTATTTACTCGTAATAATATTATTCTTTGTCATATATATAATAATTCTATTTAATTCTTACTATTTATATTTATATATATATATATATATATAATATATAGTGTATTTATGTTCATTATGTATAATATATTATCTACATTTATAATCCCTATGAAAGGCATCTCCAAACAGACTTCAGATTTACTTTTCTTTTAAAATATCTTATTTATTCATAAAAATACAGGGGACTCGCGCACACTGTCGTAGGATGTTGCTGGCTTTCTTATTTTTTTTTACGGAAAAATCGTAGGCCATGGCCATGTGCGTCATGATTGCACGCAATTAATTTTTTTATTTATTTTTTTCCACCCTGTAATTTATACATTTAATGACGAATATAAAATAATTCGTCACAACTTACTTCCACATTTCAGTCCCTTATTGTTTTTTTTTTTTTTTTCATCGAAAAATGTTTTGTTTTAACGATACAAAGCACATTTTTCAATTTAACAAGTGTTGTTGCGCCTCTCCTAGAAAATTATTTATTTATTTTTTTTAAACTATGTACATTTTTTTTTCATGGAGCTGACGCGCAACCTTGATAAAATTTATTACCTTTTTTTTACGTGACATTTTCTTTCAAGACAATAATATAGTTTTTTTTTTAGGGAAAATTCAACTTTTTCTTGTTAATACTGCGTACATCTTTTTTTTTTAAGTGTGGAAAAAAATGCAAAAGAAAAAATGCATTGTGAAGAAAAAATGCGTCTGGAGAAAATTTGTTTTTCTATTGAAAAAATTTTTCTAAAAATTGTTTTAAAAATTGTTTCAATAGTATTTTTAATTTTCTTTTCATTAATTATAAGTCTTGAGAAAAAAAATTGTCGAAAATTTCCGATTATCGTTATATTATTTTCTCGTTATTACACGAGATTTAATTTTTTTTTGCCAATTAATTTCATTAATTTTATTAATTTCATTAATTTAATATACAAATTTTTCTGAAAATATCAGAGTGTTTTTTTTTCTCTCTATATATAATTTTTTTCGTCTGAAAATATTCTTCATAAAATATTTTTTTTTTTAAAAACATCTCTATAAACTTTTTTTTTTCATTATTATTCTGTTTTTTTTTCTTTCATTTTTTTTTAAAGTATATTTGAAAAAATATTGGGAAAAAATTTACTGTAAATATTTTTTCAAACAACTTTTGACAATAATTGATTTATTTTTT